TCTGTGGCGCGGTCTCCTGCCGTTTCTTCTTTAGCTTCTGTCCCTGTGGATGGTGCTACAGAGACAGTGTCTGCCTTAAACCCCTTTTTCCTTTGCAAGGCAACCCCCTGCTCATACAGCACCAGCTTCCTTTCTGAAATGCAGCCAGGCTTTTCCCCCATGGGAGCAGGGATCTGCTCCAGGGACATGCTCACACCTTAGAACAAGAGACTTACCATGGGGCAGCCCCACCAGGAATGCAGAGGGAGGAAAACAGAAAGGGCTGTTAGCAGACAGCCAGCCGCGTGTCAGGGACAAGGGACATGATGCTGGCACTGCCCCAACACCATGGACCACACCAGCACAGAGGGACAAGCCATGCTGTGCCATAGGGACCTTGGCCTGGAGCCACCCCAAGCACCAATGGGCATCCCAGGGGACCTAAGCTGGAACAGGGGACGCGGGGGCAGCAGCAGCCTGGCTCCGCACCTCCATCTCCTCTTGTTCCCGTAAAAGGCTCCCAACAAAGGCAAGGAGCAGAAGGACTGTGCCAGGATGGAGGTCAACAGGAGAGGGGAAGCAGAAGGATTAGGCACAACACACCTAATCCTGGTTAGGCAGGGCTATAAATAACCCTCATTTACCAAACACGGAGCATGTGAGGCAGCACTTGGCTCCAGACAGGAGATATCTGGGGAGTGGGTGTCAGCTTGAGACCCTCAAAAAGTGATTTAATCAAATCCAGTTGTACCCGTGCACCCACCACCCAACCAAGCACCTTCCCCCTTGCAGGGGTGCAGGGATCCATCCCTCCTGGATGCTCCAGCATGATGGGTGAAGGTGTTTTACAAGAGGGGGCTCTAAATGGATCCCAGCACTGCGGATCTGGGGGGAGGAAAGCTGGAGGTCCCATAATGGAGCTGGGAACTGGCTGGTTTCTTCCATGTCATCAGCACACAGCTAAAACCTCCTTCGCATCCTTTAATCCCTTAAGCAGCTGGGGGAGGACAACAACCCCTTTAGGCCTTAACGAAGCCCTTTGAGGAGGGGGTGCTAATTAAACCACGTGGTTAATGAAATTGCTGCTGAGACCCCTCCAAGGCCGGGCATCACCTGAGTGCTGGGCCGAAACCCCGTGAGGAGGGTCTGGCCTTTGGGGTCATGGCCAGGGGAAAGTGAGTCATAACCAAGGGCTTAACTGAGGGGCTTAATTAAAGCCTTAATGAGAGCTGAGTGCTCACCTCATGGGTTGTATCAAACTGATGGAGAGGGGGTTTGGAAGGATACACAAAGGAGCAGGGGGGGCTGTGGGATTGTCTTTACTTGCTCTGGTAGGGGGATCCCCAAAAGCTCCCCTGGGGTGTAGCACCCCGACAGAGCATCCTGTCCAGTCCCAAGTTGGTGTCAGTATGGGGCCCTGGGGCTTGGAGGTCTCCAATGTCCTCCAGACCTTAGGGACAGCCTGCAGCCAAGGATAGTGGCACTGGGGATAGGGGAGGAAGGACTTTTTCTCACCTGCTTGGGCTTGTGCAGGGGGCTCCCTGGCTCTTCGCTGGGGCTGTGGGGCACAGAGAAAAGGGGTGAGGGCTTTCAGAGACCCCATCGTCACTGAAACCCTCTGGTCAAGCAACACCCTGATTTCTGGGGGGAGGAAGGTCAGCCTTCACTCGGCTCCAGAAGCAACTCGCCCTGTCTCCCCTGGGTGAAGTTCAGCCAACACCATCCTTCCTGGAGCCCAGCACAGACCTTGGCCAAGGGTGACAGCAATGAGGTTAATATGAGGCACCCCCACCAACAAACACTTTGTCTCTTTGTAGACCAACGAGCATCATCACACCAACCCCCAGAGCAAAAAACCCCAGATAAAATAGCTCAATAAATTGCATTTAAACAGGAAATGGGACAAAAAGGTGCTAGTGGGGATGCTCGGTACATTGCCCAGCCTGCAGGTCACATACTGCCCACTGGCACTCACCTCTCTGCAGCCCAGACCTCGCGCAGGATCTCTGTCTGCAGTGGCATGGTTCCTGGTCCAGTGTCGAGCTGGATGCTCCCTTCCCTCCTTCCAGCACTGGCTGCTGACTCCCGCTGGTCCCTACCAGCCTGGTGCTGGGTCCATGGGCTCAGCCACAATGGTCCGAGCGGCCTCACAGCATCAGCTCATCCACCTCTGTGAACCCTGTAGCAGGAGGAGGAGGAAGAGCAGGCGAAGGAGATGATTAACTTTTTATTTCTCCTGAAACTCAGTAATAGGATTTCAGGGGCTGCCAGCCAGGAGAGCAGCTGGCAGGGCAGTAATCCCAGGAAAAGGGAGCCCCACAGGAGCACATTGGGCACAGCAGATCAGTTGGACCCTGGGTGCCTTTTGGGGGTGCATGACTCCCCCCACACTGGGTGGGTTCCCTGGCATGGTGAGGCCACTCTCTCCAGCCTGGTATAAGCAGAAGAATGCTGGGTTAACGTCGCTGAATGTGCCTTTTTCCACCCAAAAATCATAGACTCATAGAATAGTTTGGGCTGGAAGGGACCTTAAAGCTCATCCAGTTCCAATCTCCTGGCCCAGGCAGGGCCACTTTCCACTAGAGCAGGTTGTTCCAAGCCCCTGTGTCCAACCTGGCCTTGAACACTGCCAGGGATGTGGCATGCCTTTTATTTTGTGATAGGAAACCAGGAGTCGTGCACGGGGGAAGGCAGCATCCCAGCTCCAGGCACTGCTAGGGGCTTCCCTATGGACCACAGCTCTGCTCCAACTCTGACCCCCCATCCCCAGGTCCCTTCAGGTCACTGCTCCTGCCTCACCTCGCTAACACCACTGTTAATATTCCCCTCCAAAGGCCACCTGGATGCTCTCCACGCAAAGCTGGACACGGCAAGTGTCCCCAGTGTCCCCAAGAAGACCCTCAGCCTTGCCGAGCCCATCCCAGACCCCCCCCAACCTCCTCCGCCCCATTTGCCGCCCGCTGCCCAGTGCCACTAGATGGCACCTGAACACCGCGCACCGGGACCCACCCGCACCGCGAAGGTTTCGGCGCCTTCGGTACAAAATCCTCCCAGTTGCCCTTTAATCTCTAAACCGCATCTCATCACCTGCCCGAGTTTAATTTCTTTTCCAAGGGGGATAAAAGCACCGAGCCAGAATAAGTAAAAAACTTGCTTTAAAAGCGAGGGGCAGGGTGAAGGCGGGGGGGAGCCCAGAAACTGCAAAGCAAGGTGTGGGTTTTTTTGCTGTAGAGGGTTGTTTCCTATGGAAACACGTGGCTTAGGCTGTCCCCAAATGACTTTTTTTTCTTTGCCTCCAAGAAATAGAGGCTAATTCTTTGCAGAGCCCCTGGGCAGCACCCACAGAGGTGGTTTGCTGGCTCTGAGACACCCCAGGGATGTTGTAAAAGCAGAGACCTGGATGAGCAGCAGCAGCAGCACAGCTGCTGGCCTGGGAATATCTACTGTAGGTAGGAAAACGGGCAGGCTTGAGAGATGATACTTCAGGTATCACCTGATGGGACTAAAGAGGAGGAATTTTAACCCAATCTGATTTATCCCCCCAGAGATCGTGGCAGTGGGGCTGTAAAAGGGACAGGCGGAGGGTGTAGAGGGACCCGTGTGGCTCTCTGCTCCCTCAACACCCTCACCAAGGGTACACAAATCTACTCCATCCACCCAGGAGCCCCTTCCCAAAGGTAGACACTGGCAAGAAAATACAAGCATCAGGATAAGTCCCACTCCCACCCTCCCCCCAGGGTAGAAAAAGCAGCTGAGACCCCAAGTAGCATCTCCAGGGATGGTGCTGGTAAAAAGGGGCATCAGTAATTCCTTAACAAATCCTTTGCTGAGCCAGGGCATCTCCACGTCCTCCCCCCAGCAACCCCCTTTGCTGAGCAGGATCCAGAGAAAACACTTCTTTGTTCTTTTCTTTTATTCAGTTGTTTATTTTTAAGCTCCAAAAGGGGCATTACAAAGAACAGACAGGAAAATTAAAGCTGTTCTGACAGTGTCCCTTTAGGATGGAGGGTGACCATGGCCAAGGTGGTGGCAGCAGCACCAGTGCAAAGACACGGTGTGCCCCAGGCCCCTCTCACCACAGCGAGCTGTGAACCCATGGTACCAGCTCAGATCCAAGAACGTGTCAACCTGCTCTTTCTTCCTCCTGTATGGAGCCCAAATAAGCCATAAAATCATTTAAAGATGGGTGCTGAGGGATGGGGTACCTGTGAGCAGCACAGCTGGACAGGTTTTGCTCTCCAAGGACACAGAAACTGTCTTCTTCAAAGGATATAATGCCCACCAAAACCCTTGTTAAAGGCAAGCTACATCCTATCACCAAGTGGCTGCAGTGGAGGTGATGCAGGTCCTCACCCCCATCCCTGGCTCCACATTGCAACCCTTTCAGCCACACACAAGAAGTCACCAGGAGAGAAAACCCATTTGTGT